GAAATAAGAGGGATTTTTTGTGTGCATCACCAGAATGGGGAGGTGAGTTTTTTCCAAACTTCAGAAAGCACCCCCTGATTCTTAGAAACTCCACTATGTGGACTTCCCACCAAGCTCAGCATCACTGCGGGGAAAGAAGGCAACTAACAGGAATATGGTGTCCACAGGCAGCGCTGCGTAGGCGAGAGCTCTGCTGTAGACTGGCCTCTGTACACATGCTTTATTATTTTCCCCTTAATTTAAATTCCTAGTGGTGGAAATGCCTGACTAAGGGACATGGCACATTTTTGAGGCTTTCCATGAGTAATATGAAATTGACCTCCTGGAAAGTTAAAACAATTGAAACACCCACCAGCAGCATTTCAAAGTGACAATTCCCAAAACCCTCCAGTTGGCTAGATTTGTTTTTAAGCAATCAAATCCCTGTATGGCCCTAAATTTTTAAAAATAGTAAAACCACTGATAAAACATATTTAGAAAAACAGCAAACAATGTAGGCAACAAATGCTAGATATTAAAAGTGCATATATTTTGAACAGCAAAATATAAAACTTTAATGACACCAGATCCCCACAGACTGAAGTTAATAGGATGACTGCTAGAAAAGCTAACGAAACCACAGTCCACCAGGCGCCAAGTCCGTAAGTACAACACCAAAGCTTCACACGCCCGTCTGCAGCTTCACACGCCCGTCTGGCTAATAGGAGGCTCAATAGTTCAGGCTTTGATAGTAACATACTTTATTGCTTATACTTATACTCATGAAACTGCACTCTTTCCAATCTTAAGTTCTTATAATTCTTTCAGATATTCATTTATTCAATGAATATCTGAACACCTACTATGGGTTGGCACTGTTTTATGTTGAGCACACAGTAGCAAACCCATAAAGTTCCTGCTTTAGGGGAATTCCAGCACCCTGTCTCCTTAGGAAGGTCGTGGTTCCAGTGCCAATCTGAACTGCTGATTCTCCGGTCTTGGTTTCTCTATCAACAAACGTAGTAAGAAGTTGACCAGATGATGTGATGTCTGTCCTTTGGCTCTCAGATTTCACTTTTTCTTTGGTTCTGTTCCAAAGTTTAATTTTCTATTACTTAAAAGGGCTTTGCATTTTAAGCTCTGTATAGTTCTTCCATCAAATCAGAACCAGGCCTCTCCCCGCCAAAACAAGTTTTATAACTACAGTAGAACTCTGGTGATCCAGTACTTCCAGGAATACACCAAGACAGGTTCATTGGATGAAACTTTGTTTTCTCATCTTTAGCAATTTCTTTGAAGATGTTTCTAAATTGTCCTTTTTGCCCCCCTTCACTTCTGTTCTGTACCAAAATACCAAGGTAGGAGCCATGAAACAGGACCTCGCTGGTATGGTGGTGGGTCTCCAAGTCTGCAGGTAGGAATGGCTGACATCCCAGCTTGAAAGTAGCACACTGGTGCCCTCCAGCTCCTGGCCGGGAGTCCTGGTAACAGAGTCTCACCTCTCTGAGACTAACCCCCACCCTCAACTTAACAGACACAAGCAAGTCTACCCAGAATGTCTACCCATGCGCTGCCCCACTAGCATTTCTAGTACTAGAAATGGGAAGCACTACTTCTGCCACCTTGTTATTTTTCACCTGAAGTTCCTGCCACCACCATTTCAACTGTCCCCAAGTCCAGGTCTCCTTGGAGAAGCCTGCTTCTGGTAGCACTTAAAGGAGCCCCAGCAAGGGTCCTCTGTAGCCCTAGCACCACCCCACCGAGGGTTAGAGCCACACAAACCTTCAGGAGGGAGTTCTGCCTCCTTGTGGACTTTCAGGATACCGCCGCTTAATAATACAGACACATTCTCAACCATAGGCACATATGATTCCAATTCTTCCCCTGCACCTGCCCTACAAACCACAGAATGGGTAAGAGCCAAGATTTTCTCACTCCTGTGCAAAATCACATGAAAAAAATTCATCCACCAGACGTTTTTCCTTAACTTCCAACATGAAACCATAAAACAGACTGGTAAACAAAACCGAGCTCACAGAAGCAGCAGTAGCAATGGCTGGTAGAATGTGGTGTGGTCATTTTAAAACAACATGAGACAAATTCAAAGTTCCTGCATCTCTGCAGTTCACAAAGGAAATGGCAAGGAAGTAGTAAAAGCTAGTAAAATTAGCCCAAGCATCTAACCCTCTAAATTTCCCCACAACCCGCTACAGATAAAACAGATACTTAAGTGTTTGTGCCATTTGCCAGATCTTCCACTCTAAGGACAGTGACAAAGGACAAATGTAGGTGTCATGGATTCCATCCTTTAGACAGCATTTACACAGAGTTTATGAGAAAATGGCAGAAGATAAAATTACATTACATGGACACAATTTATCAGCTATAGATATTTCATCAATCAGAATTTAGAATTAAAAAATTAAAAACCCCATTCTGTAGGCTCAGAAAACTCCTAATGTCAAACAGGACCCCAAAAGTCATAGCTAAGAAAAAGACAGCAGGTTCTTATTAGATATCTACAACAATTGGTTGGCACAAAACACATTTCCCAAGCTTTCAATTAATATAAAGGAACATATATTTAGAACGACAAACAGATTAAGTTGGGAAGAGGAAATACCACAGTTCCTGATACTCCCTAAAATAGAACATGCACACATTTTTCCCTCTGAGAATAAAAGTACCTGCAAAAAGTACATATATTTTATTTGCTCATTAGTTTGTCATCTGCCCCCAAAGGAATTAAAACATGAGTATATAAACCATAGTATCTTTGAAATTTTATACTTAAGCAAATGATTAATTCACTGAAATCAGATACAAAGCCCTGGCCCAAAGGAATTAGGCATATATTTAAAGCTATACCCTTTTAATATTATGAAACAGCTACTGCAACTGACAAAGCAAACGTGTGAGAGGATGTGTTAACAGTGTAACGGATTTGGTATTGGCAAGGGCTAGCGCCAAGATGGAAAGCTCAGATAAAAGACTCCTGAATCTAAGCTTTTTGACCAAAATAAGGCAAGGTTATTTCTTAAATTCTCTAAGTATTCATTCATGCAACAAATATGCACAGCCTACTCTGACCCAGGCTCTTCCTGGTGCCAGCGCAACCATGAGGACAAGCTCTGGGCTGGCCCTCCTGGAGCCTCCTGCACAGGTAGATGGCCACCACCCAAGGTCTCTTTCCACTCCAGGGAACATCCACCCACTTACACATGTGCAGGCCACAATCCCAGAGCCCGCTCTCTCCTGTCAGCCGCTCTTCCCTCTTTTCCTACTTGACTAACTCCAGCCACAGGGGCAGTCCAGCCCTGGGCTGGACTGGGCTCCTCCACACCGGCACTTATGCACACTTCAGGGCTTTTCAACTTGCTGTTCTCTCTGCCTAAGTCACTCTTCCTCCAAGTCTCCAAGAACACCAGGTACCATTTAGCCCTTGACTCACACCTCTACCTCAGAGAGGCTTCTAGAGCTACTCAATTAGCAGCATGCCCACCTGTCCCTCTTTACCACAGCACCTCTGTTTTATTAGTTTCCTAACCTCACTATCAGTTAACATTTCCTTTATTACTTCTTGGCTTTCTGTCCATCCTCTGGGTAAGAGGTGCACTCACTGCAAGGGGTCCATCCTGTAGGTTGCTATATTCTTGGCCCCCAGACAGTTGCCTGGAATATAACAGATGCTCAATAAATACTTATATAGGAAGAACAACATAATAATTAGCTGTTTTGTTCTACAACATCAAGTACCAACTAATAAAGGGAAAAGAGAGCCCCTTAAATGCTAAAAGATTTGATCAGCTAAAAAAAAAACCCTGGGCTTAAAAACATGCAGCAAAATAAGCATAATGGAAACATAAAGCTCAACATTGGCTAATGCTTAAATTACATAAAATATTAGGCTCAATTTCTAGCATGATCATTACTTCTGCAATTTATTGTTAAAAGCACCCTAAGAAGAAATCTCAACTTTTAATTTTAAAAAGCCAAATATTATCTAAAAGCATACTCCCCCATAAGAGTTATTAATAACCTTCTCTCAAACTGCACAATTTATAACCACATTATAGCAATCTTAAAATGGGAGACACTGGTGATAATCTACAGAAAGCATGGATTTCGATGGCTAGGGGCAAACAAATTTTATGAAATGCAAACTGCTCTTATCTTTCATGTAATCCAAGGTTCAAGCCTTTCATCCGTGTTCAAAAATATTTAAACTGTTAAGGATTTTTCTTACAGCTTATTCTTTAAAACTTGTTTTGTTGAAACAAAAAGCTCAAGTGTTAATCAAGGAATACTGTATGACGTTAGTTACTGGCCACCCGGACTCATGTTTCACCACAAAGACACTAGTGATCCTCATGGATGGCTCTGAAATTATATAAAAGCAAAAGGTGTACATTGGAGAGAAGGTGCATTTATTTCCTGGAATCTGATGCAAAGAACTAAGTTCCTACTGACTTGGACCTTTGGGAATAATTGAAATCCACTTAAAAACCTCAAAAACCAATGTTTGCTATAAAATAGCAAAATATGAGAAACAACCTACACATATCTGCATGGAGAAGAGGTTTAATAAATTATGGTGCATCATGAAGGGAATAGTCCTCGGCTGTGAGGGAATGAGACTGCTCTCTCAAGTATTGATAGAGAGACTGCCAAGATTGCACTGGGAGGGCCAGGGAGCTGGTGCAGAGCGGAGTATACAATGTGTCCTCATTTGTGGAAAGACAAATAAAAAGAGCACATACAAAATGTTTATACTAGCAGAGGCTATATCTGGAAAGATATACACAAGGAGTTAGCAACTGGGTCCTTGGGGTGGGGAGGGAGCAGGGTGCTGTGGGGAACCTTGACAGAAAGTATATTTTCCACTTGAACCTTTTTCTATCTATTGAATCTCTATCATGGGCATAAACTGCCTATCTCACAAGTTAATATGCTCAATCCTAATATTAAGATAATTTCTCCAACAATTTACCCAAGGACGGCCACGGGAAGCCAAAACTTACAAAAATCACAAAAAGTTTGCTGTCTTCAACAACACAGTTCCTGATTGGTTTTTCCCAGAAGAGAATCCACATCTCCACTAGAGAAGTAGCTCGTCATCTCACCTATTACAAAGCAAATAAGCCTCCATTCAATTCCTGGAAGGGAAATAGGTGCTTTGTTCACCTTGAAAACATACCTCATACTTAAATCAAATTTGTAACTAGTGAATGAAGCTTCCAAATCAGCAGTTTCCACCTGGTTATAAACCCAACTCAATGTAAGAAACCAGCAAGAGGCCAATATCATAATAAAAACACACTAAACTTACCAGCTTTCCCTTCCTCTGCCAGGCTTAGACAAGGAAGCCTCTGATACCAGTGAAATGGGATTTCAAATCTGTGGCAAATATCATTTAAGGGGAGGGCAAGTGTATCATCTGCACTAAACACACACTTTAATTTTTCATGTCGCAGGGGGAAATTGGCTTCAATTTTAATTTAGGAATCATTTTTGGACCCCTGACTAAATGATATTCTTAAATCACATTACTTTTACTAGGAGCATTTTTTCTTTAACTACAGACAAATCTGAAACTGAAAATGAACCGATGAGGAGGAAAACTTTAAACTGAAACCTTTGTGTTGAAAACTGCCTTAAAACACACACGAAGGAATGCAAAACCTTCATTCCCACACAAATGCCATTCAATAACAACAGACAAGTTGTATCAATATTTGACTACATTAAACACGCACATGCCCAACTGCAAATAAAAGATCTCATATATTTCTGGTAGCTGAAGGTGGGGACCAGAATCACATTGTTCAAATCCAGACTGAAAGTCACAACATTTGATAAGCAGAGTTTTCTATCGGTCAGAGCTCAGGATTCCAGCTCTGCCCTCTTGGACAACCCATCAGAAGTGGCATCTTCTTGCAGCCTGACCTGGATGGCCAACACGTTACCTCTGGCTGTAGTCAGTACAGCACCTTCTGCTATGAGCACTGACAAAATACAGGTAAATCCAGTGCGCTCTAAAGTCCAGAAGGGACAAGAACTACTTGATAAAGAGTTCAGACAGGGGGTCTCCAAATCATTCGGCTGATGACAGCTCCAGAGGAAAATGAAAATTAAAGCTGCTTCCCATCCCCCAGGTCGCCGGCAGTCTCAGCAATGACTGCGCTCCGTGGGACAGAAGCTCGAGGCCAGGAGGGGTGCCCGCCGGGGACCGAGGGGCGCCCAAGGGCGCGCGGAAAGAGGCTCCAGCCCAGCGCTCCCCGCCCCCAACCGGTCTCGCCTCGGACGCTCCGCTCAGACCCGGGACCAGCCGGCGGGAGCGCGGCCCCCCATCCCGCCGGGGCCGCCGGGCGCTCGCGGCGCCGCGCCCCCGGCACCCGGCTCCCGGAGCCCGCGCGCGCCGCGCCCACCCCGGCACTCACCCGCGCCGCGCCGCTAGCGCGCCATGCCCCGCCGCGCGCTCCGCGCCTGGGCCGCCGCCCGGGGGCTGCCCGGAGTCGGCAGTGGCCCGGGAGCCGGAGGCGAAGAGGAGCGGGGCCGGGCACCAGCCGCCGCCGCCGTCTGGCCCCCGGGCCCGGCGCGGGGCTGCTCCGGGCGGCCGCTGCCCTGTGCGCGCGCCGGGGCCGCCGCCGCCAGAGCCGCCCGCCGGCAACGGTAACGGCGCCGCTCGCCGCCGCGCTGTCCGGTCGCGATTGCGGCGAGCGGGGGCGGCGCTGCCCGCCGCTCAGCTGGGGGCGCCGCGGGCCCGGCTCCGCCCCCCGCCCCGCCCCGCCCCGCCCCGCCGCCCGCGCCCCGCGCGCCCCGCGCGCCCCCGCCGGAAGCGGCCCGCGCGCTCCCCGCCGGCCCGGCCGCGCGCGCCCAGCTCCCCCGCGGGGCCGCCCCGGAGCCGCGGCGCGAGGGTGGCGCTTCCGCCCGGAGTCGCGCCCCGAGGCCGCGCGCGGAAGGTCACGGGAGAGCCGGGCGCGCGGGCGGCCCCGCCGGTGCCGGTCCCGACGCTGGCCGTGCGCGCTGCACGCCGCTCCCCGCGGGGAGGACAGCGAGGGGCCGCGTCGCAGCCGCCTCTGTCAACACCGCGGAGACCCGCTTCCGCGCCCGGAGGGGTCCCCGGGGTTGCTTAGATTTGGCGAGGTAACCTGTGCCCCCGATGTCGGGGTGCTGCAGTTCTGGCCACCTTTCTCCTCCCCCCAGCAGAGCTCGCTCTGCCCGAGAGGACCCGCGGGGGCATTCTTAGAATATCCTGGAGCCATCGAGTCTTGCCTCCAAGGCGTGGTGGGTTTATTTGTGCGGAGAAGAAACGGCTCCCTTAATGGGGTGAGATTTTTCCTCCATGCATTGTTCCCATTTCCGCAGTTTCACTTGGCCTCGATTTTCTTCCAGAGTAATGCAGCAAATGAAATTAGCTGGAGAGCGTTTGATGGCGCAGAATCATGATTTGAAGATGTTTACGTTCTCTGCCGGACGCTTTTGATGATGTTCCCTTTGGCGCAATTAATTTTGCAAAGTTCAGAAATGTGCCAGATGGAGCCCCTGGCACGCAGAGGCACAGGATTCTGCAGACACACCTTTAATAGGAAGCCGGTTTGTTTGTTTCATTTGTGATTTATTGGATGCGCCAGCGTCAGGCCAACGTATTTTTTCTTAAAGATATTTGGATGAAATTCCAATCCAATTTCTAATTAGGCAAAATGAAGCTTATTTTCTTAACTAGCAGTTCCCCTGTTGATAATTAACTAAAGTGGGCAACAAAATACCTGCAAGTACTTTGATTGCAAAGTCAGCTTCCTAGACGAAAATGCACATTTTACACTAAGATACAGTCGCTACTGGTGGCCTAATGATCAAATCCCTCCATGTGCGTATTTTGAACACTGAAAACGAATGCCTCCTGTTGTCCCTCAGATCTTAATTTGGTCTCCTTCTACTTGAAGCCCTGTCTGATAGTACAGCATTATTTGTTTGCCTCCGTTCTTAAGTCCTTGATGGTTTGGGAGATTTATCATCACTCATATTGGAGAATTGTATAACTAGCTTTTCAGTTAGGATAGTGCCTAGGCTAATATAGTTTTAGGGGCCCATAAAATGTTATAATCTGTTTTCAAATCAGATGGGAAAAAAATTAATTTTTGGTCTAAAAAAAGCTTTACTATATTAATATATTTGTCTTTATACTAATATAGTCTTAAAGTTTTAATTTTAATTTTTTAGTGGTGTTCAACAAAATGCCTAGGGTCCAAGAAAATTATGTGGCATCTATATATAGATAGTAGCATTTTATAGAACATATAAAATCTATCCATATGTGAAGAGATAACACTAAATAATAATGAGTAGCCTCACATCCACCGGATAGATACCAATTGTCAAGCACTGTGCATCACCTAATCTAATGCTCACAACATACCTGTAAAATAGGTACTGTTATCACACCTAGGGGTTGACGTCTTCAACGTGTGCAGTTTGGGTGATCTTAAAGAAAAAGAAAAGAAATACAACACCTCCAAGCTGTTCCCCCATCACTCAACACGAGAGAAAGTGAATGGGAAAACCGAAGCAGAAAGAGAGCTCAATCCCAGCTGATTGTGGTTAAAATCTCTTAGTTAAAACAAATGATGGAGTGATTGTATCGCTAGGCTCCTGCCAGGGTCTTGGATGGAGGCCTGGAAAAGATGCCTTGAAACTTGCATTTTAATTAGCTTCACAGAAAACTTGCCTCTGATTTATACCCATTCTGAAGGTCAGGAGAATTAGGAATTTGCCACACCACCTCTAAGGAACGTAGGGTCCACACAGACCCAGGTCTGGTGTGAAGGGCGGTGGTGCACACACTTTTTATGAAAAATAGTGGCTATTATATTTCCATAATACAACAAGATACTTGAAAGTATGTTAGCAATGCATATTCCGATATAGCCAGGCCATAACTTGGTTTGCAGCACTGATAGGATTCTGTGATGTATGTGACCAATTTCTCTTAAATGCCATATAAAAGATGAATTAACCAAGTGCAGATTCTTAAAGGAATTTCAGTTCAATTTTAACTCATAAATTGACACCATTTTTATTTCCTTTGTCGTAAACCAGCTTATGTTATAAATACTGTTTTATCTATTTACTTTTTTTGCAGTTTCATGAGATACAGCAAAATAAGCAGTAGGACAAGAATTTGTGTTTGTGATGCTCATAACATAACATGAACAGTTTAACACATAGTAGTTCTCTCACTAAATATTTGTGAAACAAATAATGTAATAGAAAAGATCACAGGGTTAGAAGTAAGAGTAGGTTATGTAACAAACTAAAATTGAATGGGAAAGAAACAGTAAATTGTTGAACTTTAACTTCCTGCCAGATAAGCAGAATTGACTTTTTAGTTAATTATTTGGTGTGCAAGATTTGGGTGCTTCTTTCCAGCTTTTGGTTATTCTTTTTTTTTTTTTTAATAAGATTTCATTTGAAATGCTTAAATATAAAATAATCTAAGTGAAATACAAATCGTAATCAAATGAAAATTCTAGAAGTGAAAGGTTTTGTTCATTAAAAGGATTAATCACTCAAAAAGCAGCAAACTTGAGATATGAGGCTGTATTATTAAATGAGTTATATCTTGGCCCTTCAGCAGGCTTCTTCTGATATATGTAATATTTATCAATCAGTGGGACAAGTTATGGCTTTGTTCCTGGAAGATATTTTGGAACCCAATGAAAAACTACAAATTAAGCACAGTTATTAAGCTGTGAATAGTTGAAATGGAAATGAGTGAAACTATTCTTTCTTTTAAACCTGACTGATAAATGCAGACTTAAATTGGTTTATTTCAGAGCACAATTTTGGATAAGCTCCAAAACCTTTAATTAGATCCCCTGAAACAAGAAGACATATGAGAGTAATCAGTTAAATTTCTGTAGATGTTATTATGTTCTTTACCCAAAGTGGTTTGGAATGCAATTCGAGAGGCATGAAAAAATATGATAAACACCATGAAACATAGTATCTGCCTAGGATTTGTTTAATATATTCTTTTCAGAAAAAAAGATTTCAGGGTGTCATGTAAACTATTTTGGTAAATTATTATATCTCTAGCAAGGCCCCAAGAGGATTGCATTTTGTTTGTTTTTTGTTTACTTATACTATGCCTGTATCCAAAGCGGGGGGGAGGGAGAGAGAATATGAATAATGGTTGAGACAGAATAGCATTTCAGCTTGAAAGTTAGCTTCCTCAGAGCCCAAATGAAACAGGCAGAATGAATATTTTCATAGCGCTCATTGTCAAGTGGAAGGAATCACAGTTTATTTAGGAGAAATCTTTCCTGGCACAAGCACTGGGAGGATTAGTCATAGGGACCTTAGGTAAGGGCTATTCAGACGTCTCACTTAAGAGGGACACCACACAACACTGGTTTGTCATCTTTTGTGGCAGGCAGAGCTAATATGATTTTTCTAGTAAATAGCTTTAAAATTGTTATTGCTGAAAGTAAATAGCAAGACGTACAGAGTTGTTATTCCTTTATACTGTCTTTGAAGGCAAGCCAAGGATGTAATAGCAAATCTGTGTTTTCCCAGCTTCCTTCTCTAAAAAGGGTTGGTTGTTTGTTTTTAAGTTCCTGCTTGTTGGGTAGAGAAAGGACAAAGGAATTAAATCCTCTGAGACTACTGAAATGCTGTGAGTGGCAAATTTGTTAAAGTTTTCTTTAGCTCAAGTATAGTATCTTTCTCTCTCTTATACTTTGTCTTTTATTGTAAACTACCTCAAGTCCTTTTTGAAAGAATGCATAGAAGGTGCCTGACACAAAGTTAACAATACGTATTACTGCCTATATTATGATCATTACACTTTCTGCTACCAATCCTATCAGAGCAGATCTGTGAGGTTGCCTTGGGGCTATGTGCTATGAAATAGTCATACAATACTGTGTCCTCTGGGTAAAGCTTTGAGGAATATAAGGAGTAATTGAGTCTCTCTACACTATTTCCTTTTATTGTTTGCACCTTATCTCCTGTCTTATATCACTTCACTCACTGGTTTGAGGTGGTCAATACTGAGGAAGGACCCTTTCCCCTAATTGCCTAATATTTAGCTAAGTTCCTAGATCTTAAGACCAGCCACTTTCAAGAATCTTGCTAAATTTCTTATATGTTGGTGAATCGAAATGACTTGGCCTGTTAAAACTAACTCCCAGAGTTAGAAACCAAAGGCTGGAAAGGGGGCATGA